CGGCCGGATCCCCGTCACGGCGAAAAACTCCCGCTCCTCCGCCGGCGGCAACGTCGCCGTCAAACACACCAACTGCGCCCCGAACTCCTGCACCGTCCGCCCCAACCCCCGCAACGCCGGCCGGAACCCCCTCGACCCGTCTAACACGACGTGGCACTCGTCCATAATACCCGGTCCAACTGCTGCCGCCGCTGCAACCACCCGACGAAATCCCGGAATCCCTGCGTGACGGCTGACTCGGGCGTCACGAACACCACCGTTGCTGCCGTCGTGTTGGCCCGCCCGCCGCCGCGCCACGTCGTCGACGCTAACCCCGACCTCGAACACCGCGCGTCCATGTCGGTGCGTAACGCCACCAACGGCGTCACGACGATCGTCACCCCGTCCGGTGCGCAATACGCCGGCAACATAAACGACAAACTCTTGCCGCCGCCCGTGCCCGTCACCTGCACGATTGGGTCGTCCCCGCGCATGATCGACGGGATCACCCGCTCCTGCTGGCCGCAGAACGCCGCCTGCGGGTCCCCCATCATCTGCCGCAACTGCCCGCCGGCGTTGACCAACTGCAACCGCGTGAACCGCCGCCGCCGCTGCCTCTCGAACTCCTCGTCCGCCGCCGTCGTCGTCGTCCGCCGCCGCTTGGTGGGTGCCCCGCCGCCCCGGTCCTCCGCCCCGAACCCCAACAACCGGTGCCACTGCCGGCTGACGGCCCGGAACCTGTCCCGTAACGCCGCCGTGCTGAACGGTGCCTCCTGGTATAACCGCCCGTATATCATCCCCGCCACGTGCGTGCCGTGCCAGGCCTGCAAATCCAATACGCTATCCTCGACCCCGACATCGTCGTCGTCGTTATCGTCGTTGTCGTTGTTTCTGTCGTCTGCCCGCCCGAACGCCTCGTTCAAATACCGGTTGGCGATGGCGACGGCCATGTGCCGCCACCCGCTGATGTTGATCTTGCTGCCGACTAACCGCTCGCTGTGCTATTGCATGATCCGCCTTGCCTTGTCTGACGTCCACAACCGTTCGTCCGTCCATGGGGCCCGGCTGGGGGTGGCGGGGGTGCTCTCGTCTGTGGCGGTGTTGTCACGGGCGTCGTCGTCCTCGGGGTTGTTACGGGCGTCGTCGTCGCCTGCTGCCCTGCCACTTATAACCACGTCGTCCGCCCATAAAAATGCGCTCTTCCGGTCCGTCTAATGGATGATGCCTCCTACCTGCTGCTAAAACGGCAACACTAACCATAAATACCACACTAATAACTCGCCGACCTCGCGCGGCAAATACCGGTGTATCACCTTAGCCGTCCCCGTCTAGCGCCAATTCTTGTAGTACGACGTGACGAAACATATCATACCGTCGTGTGCGAACACGTTCCTGACCCCGCCGTTGGCCGTGTTACGGTGTCTGATGCCTGCTAACTCGGGCGCCCGCGCCGGCTACCCTGCCACCATGTGCATCAACTTCCACAACCCCTGCCGGAACGATTCCTACGCCTGTCTGTATGCCTGCACTGTTCTCTCGCGGTACGGGTGGTGACTATTACTGTGGTTGGACGTGGCCTCCTCCGCCTCTCCTGCTGCTGCTGCTGCTGCCGCCGCCCCTCGCGCCGGGTCCAACCACGCCCGCCGCCGTGCCTCCGACTCTGCGATGCGCCGTGCGGTCCACCCCTTCCCCTTGCCCACCCACGCCTCGTTGCGGTCGTTTATTCGTAAGTTCACATTTAACACGGACAGAAAGGGAAGGTTAGAGTTATTATTGGAGGAGTAGGTAGAAATAGATAAAAGAAAAGGGTCAAGGTCAGAGCAGGAGGAGGTAGTCAGGAACAGATAAGAGGGAAGGGTCAGGGATAGACAAGGAAGATTAGAAACAAAAGGTCCGGGTTATAAGAATAGAGTGAGGGAGCAGAAGGGTTAGGGTTATAATTCAATATGAAGAGGAGAGGAGTATAGGGAAGGGACAAATGGGGAAGAAAGGTTAGGGATAGGGCAGAGAGAAAGGATAGGGATTCATAAGAAAGATGAGAGTCAAAAGGTTAGGGTTTTTTTGGGGTTAAGGGTGAGAGCAGAAGGAAACAGTCACAATTCAATATAAAGAGGACAGGAGAGGAGATAAATAGAGGGGAAAGGTTAGGGATAGATAGGAGGAAAAGGGTAGAGATAGAGCGGAGGGAACGGTGAGAATGAAATGGAAAGAAAACGTTACAGATGGAAGAGAAGTATTTATCGTTAATCCAGATAGAGGTCGTCAGGAACAGATAAGAGGAGAGGTCAGGGATAGACGAGAAAGATTGGAAACAAAAGGGAGGAAACTTAATAGATATTAAGCTTAAAAGCTTTATTTTAACTTCTGTAAAAAATAGAGATATCATAAGTTTATAAAAAATAATAATTTAAAAATATTTCTTTTCCTTTTTAAATCTTCTTTTTAACTAAATTATTTATAATAAGCTATTATATAATAAGATATTTATAGATAATAAGATATATATAGATAATAAGATAATTTTAAACCTTTATAGTTTTCTAATATTTAAATAGAAGTAAAATAACTTTATATTTCTATTAAATATCTTATTAAATATTATAAATTTTTCAAAAGTATTATTACTTATTAACTAAAAAATACTTTTATAAATAGAAATAAAATATATATCTCTTAAAGTATTAATTTTAATATAAATATAAACAATATTACATTTTATATAATAATATTTAATTTGTTACCTTTTTAAGAGATTTTAAATAGAATAATTATATACTTATTATAGTTATATGTTTTATTTATAAAAATATATTTCGTTTTTAAAATAATTTTATTATTATAAAAGATATTACTATTTAAAACTTTACATAAGGTTTTTATAATAAGTATAATATATATAACTTATGTTTTATTAAAGTTAATTTTATAAAATCTATACTTTTTATAAACTTCAACTTTTTTAAAAACCTTTTTATATATTTCACTTATGTATTAATTAATAATATAAATATTATTAATATTATCTTTATAAAGCTTAAAAAAGTATTAATATCTTTATATAATAAGCTATTTTATAAGATAATATTAATTTAGTTTATAGGTTTCTATTTTTAGTTTTAAAACTTATTAACCTTAGATTTTATAAACTTAATTTGAGTTTTTATACTTTTTTATTAAGTTTTATACTAAGTAAGAGGAATTAATTTATTTTTTATATTTTCAAAAACATAATATTATATATATTTTATTTATAAGATTTAAAATTAAAAATAAGTAAAAATATTTATAGTCTATTTATAAAAAGCTTTTTATAAATCTATTTATTAATCTTTTATCTATTGATATATAAATAATCTAAAGACTTTTAATTTAATATTTGTATTTTAATTATATATTATAAATATTGATGTATTTTAAATAAGTATTTATTCTCTCTTTTTTATTTATAATAAATCTAAATATTTAGTAATTATTATAATAAATGGTTTATATGATATTAAGTTTAAATTTAATATTTTTAAATAATGTTGAGAAAGCTATTATCTTTTTTATTATTTCTATTGAACTTAAAGGTTTTCTTTTGATAATTAATATTATAATTATTATTAATCTAATTGTATTTTATCAAATTAACTATTTAAATAATATTATAAAATATCTTTACAAAGATTAATATGCTATTTTATTATAAATAACATGTTTATAGCTATAAATAAAATTTAAATATTTATAAATGTATTTTCTGAAATATTAAAATAAATTATAAAATATTAAGTTTTATACATATATTACATATTATGTTTAATAATAACCTATTAATTTTAAAATATATTAATAAGAAATAAAACCAAAAATATTACTCTAAAAATAATATTTATGTCTATAAATATAGCTATATAAAATATTAATCTAGGTATTTTTTAAATTTTTTAAATGTTTATAATATAATTTATCTTTTACTTTGTTTTAATTTTATTTAAAAAAGAAGTATGATAAATAAATCATATTTTATAAATGAAACTTCTTAATAACTTTCACAATATATAAATTATAAACGAAAAAGATTTTATAAATTCTTTAATATTTTATAATGTTTATTTTAAAATATTACTCAATGTTTTTTTAATTCTTTAATTTTATATACTTTTTTTTTAATTTTATTAATGACCTCTTAAGTCTTATATCTATTATATTCATAAAATAAAATAAAAAAGTTTTTAATCTAGGAAATAATTATAACCATTATTTTTAAGTTGAATTCAAAAATAATAAAAATTTGTTTTTAAGTTTTATAAATTAAATCGTGAAAAAATAAAGCTAAATATTTTATACTATAGAAGCAATATATTTTAAAATTCATATAGAACTTTATTTAGTTAAATAGTATATTTAATAGATAAATCTAAACACTTTATAAATTTCTTAATATCTTATAATATTTTATAAATAACTAACTATTTTCTTTATTATCTTTATATTTCAAAATGTACTAACAATATTATCTTTATATATTTTATAATTAAATTATATAACAATTATTGTTATAATTTTCAAGGTTTCTAAAATAAAAGCTATAATATAAATACTTTTAAGATTCCTTAATAAGAAATCTCTTTTTATAATAGTTTAGGTATCTATATTTATATAATGTTTAATTATATTAAATTTATAAACATAAACTTGTTTCAAGAATAAAGGTTTTAAACACATTTTTAAATAATTTAGAACTTTCCATTTTTAGAACTAATAATTCTTTTAAATCTTTTATATATAATATATAATAATAAATAATTTTTAAAACTATTTAAAAAGCTTTTGAATCTCTTTCTAAGTCTTTAAAAATAATAGTAATTAAACGCAATATGTTTTATTAAATTATAAAAAAGAGTTAAAAAGAGGTTTTAATATTAATCTTTTATAAATACTATTTTTTCAGAAGTTTATCTAATTCAATCTTTATTAAACTATAAAATATATAATAAAATCTTTTATTTTCTTTTATAGCTTTTTATTTCTCTAATACAAAATTATAAAGAATTAATTTGAATTTCATTTATTAAATATAAAGTTTTTATTTATTATATTAATAATAATATTAGAATATATAATAAATATATTTTCAAGTTTAATTTCAAAACTATTTTTGAAATAAAAATAAATTTAAATATAAATATTGTTTATATAGAAATATATTTATTTTAATTTAAAAGTTCTTTTTTATATATACTCAAAAATAAATAAATATTTAAAACAATTCTTTTTATAAAAACTATATATTTCGATTAATTTTAAGTTTTATATATCTTTAATAAAAACTTTATTTTATTGAAACATTTAGCTATTTGTAAGATTTTAAAATAATAATATTAATATTTGTTTGAAAAGTCTTATTATTTAAAAGTTATAAAGTTTATTTAAACCCATATTTTCAAATAATTTAATATTAAGTTTAAATAATATTGGAAAATAAAGAAGATATATTAAGTACTTTCAAATATAATTTCTTTCTTCTATTTATTTTATAAATATTATTATATTATAATCTTTTTATTAATTCTAAGATTAATTTTAATTTAAATATTAAAATCCACAAATATAATAACAGCTAAAAGTAATTTCTTTATCTCTCTTATTATAAATCTTATAACTATAAGTTTTATATTTCTTCCAATATTTTATTTTAAAGAAATCTTTTTTATATTAAGTAAAATACTTTATAAAATAATCACTTTTTTAAATATTAAAATCTAAACCTTATAGACGTAATATATATTAAATATATATTTCATGAAATATTTAATATAGCTATATAAAATTATTTTAAACTTATTTCTGTTTGTATCTCTTATCTTCTTTGAAACTATATTTTTATAACTATAAATATATATTTATTTCTCACAAAAATAAGGTTTGAAGGTTTATAATATATTATAAATTAATACTTATGTATTAAAATATTTTATAAGATATTTTACTTTTAATATATTAA